GGCCGGCGAGATCACAAGCCTCCTATGTCACCGCGTGTCATTGTGATGGAACGCAGCGGAGTGCAGTGATGACAGAGCGGTGCGGGCCACATTGCAAGGCCTGGCGGGCCGGATTTGGCCCGCGGGCCTTGTGTTTGACATGTGTGGTCTAAAGGTTGCTTAGGGTTTCATATATATATATATATATATATATATATATATATATATATAAATGTATGTGTTGATTACTATCTTACTCCCACAAGACTGTAAGTTTCATGCGATGTATCAATTTAGTTTATAATGCCTGACACAGTGTGTCCAAATTTTCTTGGAAGAAATGAAAAGGAGGAGGGAGATAAGAAGGAAAGAGGAAATATAATAGGGAAGCATGTAGAGAGAAGACAGAAATGGAGGGAGATCCCAATGGGGCTAATAGGGAAGGTGTATATTTGATATTTCATCTTTAGTGGGAAAGCTGGAAGAGTTGGATAGAGCTCTTATCTGAAGCCTTAATACTTAATACTTAAAGGCAGAAGTTGAACATCAGAATTTTTTCCATGGGATACTGCTGAGTTCAAAACACAGAAGTAGGTCCAAAGGGGTCATCAGAGCAAATGGAGTCTGAGGAGAGTATTAGGTATAGAGAAAAATGAGAATGGGAAAATCAAGAAAGTTGAGGGAAAATAAGAAAAATCTAGCCCTGCCAGGTGGCTCAGTTGCTTAGAGCAGCGTTTTTCAACCGCTGTTCCGCGGCACACTTGTTGCCTGGTGTGCCGTAGGTGCAGACAAGACAAGAATTTTATAATTTTTCACTATTTTGTTTACTTAATATTTTATAATAAAGTAATTATAAAATACTTTCTTTGTGTTTATTTGATTCCTATTCAAGAGAATTACTTTATATATAGTCAATATAGGCACAGAGTTAAATTTTTTAACATTTTCTAATGGTGGTGTGCCTCGTGATTTTTTTCATGAAACAAGTGTGCCTTTGCCCAAAAAAGGTTGAAAAACACTGGCTTAGAGTATGGTCCCAACATGCCAAGGTTGAGGGTTTAATTTCCTGTAAGGGCACATACAAAAACCAACCAATAAATGCATAAATAAATGGAACAATGAATCAATGTCTCTCTCTGTCACTCTCTCTCCCTCTCAAATCAATAAATAAAAAGAAATAATCTATACAAATTCAAAATAAATTATAGACAAGGCCACCAGCTGGGTTGATTTCTTGTACCTAGAGGCTTTTCATTCACGAGCAAGCAAATCTGACTAAAGGGACATAAACCACACACACACTTGATATATATGAATAAAAAAGGAACCACATACTAAACCTGATAAGCAAAGAGGAGGCCAGCATCATAGGCCCTACAAACTCAGAGACTAAAAGTAACCACATCAGATGGTCTGAACAGAAGAATTCCTAACTAAAAATGGTTCATGGCAGGTCCTAGGCCTGTAGCTTTCTTGACAAAGATCAGTCTTAATTTGAGTAAGCCTATCTATGGCCTTTTTGAATCTAAGATAATATACCTCTGGGTTGTTTCTGGTGGGTTTTTTTGTGGGTGTTCCCCCCCCCCCCCCCCACTTTGGAATGTCAGAGCAATCTCCTTTTCCAAAGCCCTCAGGACACCAGAATAGAGACCACAGAACCCCTCATTGTTATGCTGTTCCTGAATACCATCTCTCTGTGCTGAAAATGTGAATTGTTAACTATTCTATACTCACCAATGTAAAAGATGTATCTCTCCATTTTACTCTTTATCCAATCTTAGAGATTTCCCCACTTTTGCTTTCTCCAGTAAATTTCATGTAAACCCCCTTATGGCTCCCACTTTGAGTCTAATGTATAAAATAAACTGTAAAATTGCCATTCTCCACAACATTTTCTCAATTTGTTGAGATTTTGCTTCGTGGCGACTATGACGTATCTTTTGAAGTTCAATTTTTTAAACCTAAGTAATTTAACATTGTCTTCTATTATTTCCCTCCTTAACCCGCAGCTCCTGGAGGACAGGGAGTCACTAGTTCATTTTCTCATCTCCTGCAGAGTCTAGTACAATGACTTCAATTAGTAAATGCTCCAAAAGATTATTGAATAAATAGTATTATATTATTCACAGGTGCTGGGAGTAACTGAATTTAACTTCTTGAGGAAAACCTTTGTAGATCTAAATTTCTTCTGAAAATATAAAGAATTGGAGTAAACTCTAAGGTATTTCCAAAATACCAACTATTGGGACAATGGTAAGGTTATGATATACATATTTAACCTCTCTATCATTTTTAGTATATTACGGGGCACATAGTGGGAACTGAATAAGTGTTTGCAATGAACTGACTCCCATGTAGATATATTTAAGTTGAGAAGAAACAAAGATGTGTTTCTGAAGTTTCATATAAATTGCTTATGAGATGAACCATACAAAAGAAATTTATTATTAAATGGTTCCTAAGGTGAATATTTTTTTTTACAATATTTGAAATTACTTTGCAATATAATAACTCCTAATCTAATCCATTTTTAAATTTCACATTTTTATGTGTCAAGGTTGCTGATAATAGGACAAACCAGACTGGTATCTTACAAGGGCACCAATTGACTTAACTATTGACTAAATCAAGCAATTATTCTGAGATAATTGTCCCTCTTTCTAAAGTTCCCAAGATGATATCTACCTATCTTTCTCTCTGTCTTTCTGAATCCCTTGTGTTTTAACTCTCAATTCAAATTTGGTAGATCTATCCTAAATTATAATGCTATGCATAAACTTTTCACTTTCCAATACTCCTTTCCATATTCCTCCCCCTTGTTTAACCACACACCTCACCATTTGCCAAAATAGGTATGCCTTCCATGGTGACTGGAACATCCACAGTACTAGACTCTTCAAAACATGTGCCTCAGTCCGTGGCTTTTGTATGAGCATGCTGGAAGTTGAAGCTTCCTCAACTGAGAAATAACATGTTTAGGTCACCCTCAAGGTGAGATTCAGGAAAGGGAGTGCTCCTTACTCGATTTTACTTTCTCTATGCCTCTCCGCTATCCAGGGCCTTTCCCCCATAAATCCAGCGAAAAATTAGAAAAGTAATAACTCTTCGGAACAATTATCTTATCTCAAAAAAGGTTCTACTCCTTTGATACAAATGGGGAAAAGCAGAAAATGTAACTAGATTCTTTGAGACTGGGGTCAAAGAGAAAGTCAGTTTTCTTTGGGACTCTTTATTTTACAAATTTTGGAGTATCAATTACAATGGGAATAAGGACTCCCATAGATGAACCCAGAAAGATTAAAATAATTCACAAAGGACAGGAAATCAACTACTAGCTCGTGCACTATAAATCTCATTCTCTCTCAATTCCCAAGTCCTCCTCATCTGCCTAGGGCTTATCTGAATATATCAGGCCAAAATCTCACCTGATACTTGTACCAGGACATAAAACGACTATGTGACAAAGATCTTATCATGGAATAAATGAGTCAGTTGACCCCTAAAGCCTGATTTACATTACTGTCTCACATCCTGTATTGAGCCTCCATTCAAGAGTCAAAGGTACCTGTTCTCTGAGGAGTCCTGACTAATTGGCGAGATTGAATCACGAACATGAAAAACTTCAGTTGCAGTTCCTCTTTATGCATGGCTGACTCCTAGAAATAGAGAGAGTTTAATCCGAACAAACAGATTTGTGAAGTGATTAAGATAAACAAAAGTGACACAGACCAGGTATGTTCACTACTAACAAAGACTTATGACCTGACAGTCTAAACTTCAACCTACGAAGAATCTACTTTTGTCCATGTGACAGAGCAAGGTCACCTGAACTCAGCAAGCACTCCTTTCCCAGCTGCTAAGAGTAGGTAAGAGGCGGGGGGCCTCCAGAGGCTTCCATTCTTCAAGTCTGAGCTCAGACGATGGCTATCATTTGGGTCTAGAGTATCTACTCAGGAGCATTTCTCCTAGGTTCCTAGACAGGCCCAAAAGCTGAGTGAACAAAGATATTTCTCCATTATTTTCTCTTAAAAAGTATGGCAAATTTAAATAAACCTGTAATATTTTATCTTAAGGGGAAAAAAGGATGGCACAGATTATAGGTTAGTCAATTCAGTCCCAGGAACATCACCAGGGCCATTTAGTTCTTCAGAGGAACAGACCCTCTGGTCCTTTCCTCTTTTTAGAAAAGTAGATCTCTGGTAGATCCCAATAGCTTTCCTCACACCTACATTCCTGTTTCAAACTCCTCAAGAGTTCTGGACGTTTCTATATGTTTAGAATATAATGTATCCCAATCCTAAACTCTTCCCCACCCCCACGCGCCCCACCCCTTTTTTTCCTTTCCCCTAATGGCCAATCAAGCATCATCTGGTGCAGAGTACAGGTCTGCAAACTAAGAAACTTATTTCCTACTCCTAGATCTGCTACACACTTTATAACTTTGGGAAACTATTTCACTTTTCTGAAACTGTTAGATTAAACTATCTCCAAATTCCTCTACAATCACTAACGTTCTGTGATTCTCAAAACACAATATAGCCTGAGCTTGATTGAGCTCTCAGGTCTAGATCTGCAGAGGTGGCCACAGGTTCCAGCAGATGGAAGGCCAAGGAGAAGGCTGCCATGGAAACCGGAGCTGTAAGCAATAATCGCCCAGCGGAACCAGAAGATGGCGGGTGCGGGGTTCGGGGGAACAGAGAAAAGCGAAGGACGAAAGGAACACGAACAGTATTCCGGGAACAAGAAAAAAGCGCAAACTGAAAGATCAGAGAAATTAAGACTACAGCCTTCTTAGATGCTTCCTAGGTTTTTCTGAGCCTCGCCATACTGCGCAGGCGTCCCTCGGCACTTCACTGTGCTCTTTGACCTCCCGCCCCAACCCCCTTCGTCCTCAGCCGCCGAGCGGCTCTTCCGGTGTCGGGGAGGCGGTTCCGGTTCGCGGCCATTCCCGGGTTTTGCGTTCCGCGCCCGGCCGGAAACCCCTTCGTATAGCAGCCGGTTCCGGTTCGGTGAGTGGCGGCGGGAAGCTGGGGGAGGGGGAGGATGGAGGAATCCCGGGCCGGGGTGTTGTGCCGCTCCGGGCCCCGCAACCTGGGCTGCGCTGGGCGGAAGCGAGGACGGCGGTGGGGACGGCGCTGCTCCCTCTGCCCCGCCCCCTGGGACCACCTCCCCTCCCCGGAGCTGTCCGCGGGCGCCCGGGCCGCCGGCCGTTAGGCTCCCGGAGCCGTTCCTCCAGGCCTTTTCCCCTTCGGCGGTGGCGAGGTGGTCCTCCCGCCATCACGGCAGCCCCCGGCCCAGCGCCCAGCCCTCCCGGTGGGGAAACAGGCCGGCTGGGGTTTCGGAGCTTTCCCGCCAGAGCAGGGTCATCTCACGGGAAAGCTGTTTTCGCCGGGAAGATCAGCTTTTTTTATTTTTTATTTTTTTTTAACACCTTTTCCCTTTCCCGCCTTCCTTGAGACCAAAAGGGTATTTCTCGACCACTTCTGCGTCTCACGTAAACATTTCTCCAACTCGTTCACTCTGTGGTGTCTCCCCGAGGCGGGAGATCGCTGGTGCCGCCACCAGAGAGACCCGTCTGGACCCTCCCGCCCAGGCCATGAGAGCCCCCTGCCCGGCCGCGGGTGCTTACCTGGCTCATCGCCGTCTGGTAATCCACTCGAACCGCCTCTCTCTCTCTCTCGGGGAACCCTAACGTGGTCTCTCTGGATGTGTGCCCGGCTCTCTTGCTTGAGCTTGGTGGTTTCTGTTTATCGCTGCCTCTGCAGTGTTTGCACTTATCTCGTTGGCAATAACTCACTCCTTTATCACTTTCAAGGCAGCCTTGTTCAAGTCATCTCACTTCACGTTAGGTACACTTGTTATAATTGGGGTGGTGGTGATTCTTATGAAATTCATGTAAAACCTTTCTATAGCCTACCAGCCATTTGACTTAAGGGTCTTGTTGGGCATTTTGGCTGGAATAGACCGGACCTTTATTCTTTATAAAGATCTTTTGTGGTAAGGACGCCAGTTGAAAGATAAGTGACACTCAATTGGAAATGACATAAGTGAAACTTTAAGCATCTTCTTTAAGCAAGATTCCTTAACTTTCTTCCAACTGAGAGATTCCCTACCTTGCCCACCCCCCTCCAGTTCCATTTTCTGTCTGTGTTTAAAGAATTAATAATTTTGTTATTGTTAATCTTCACCTGAGGATATTTTTCCATTGATCTTTTAGAGAGAGTGGAAGACATCCATGTGAGAGAAACACATAGATTGGTTGCCTCCTGCACACACCCTATTGGTGGCCCAGGCCTGGGAGGAGCCTGCAACCAAAGTACCTGCCCTTGATTGGAATCGAACCCGGGACCCTTCCATCGGCAGGCCGAAGCTCTATCCACTGAGCAAACTGGCTAGGGCTCTAGTTCCATTTTGGAAGTCTCATTCATTTTTTAACCTGATTACAATTAATATATCCCAGCCGGCTAGGGCTCTAGGTGCATTTTGGAAGCCTCATCACTTTTATCTGAGTACAATTAACGTGGTCTTCATATCACCCATCTGATGAGATAAACCTAGTGGGAGCAAATGGATTAAAAAACAGGTTGTGCTACTTCAGGCTAAGATGATGTAACTCTTTTAACTACTGCTTTGGAAGTCTTTCCTTTACCTGACTCCCACATCTACTAATCACACTACTGTAGCTTTATTTTTTTGCTATAAATACCCATTTATGGATCTTCCCCCAGTAGACAGTGATCTTCTTAGCAGCCGGGACCAGTTTTTATTCTTATCCTCAGTATCTTGTATGTAATTGGTATACAGTAAATGTTTGTGTATGCAAGAAGTTTCTTAGTGTATAAGGTGTTGGAGTGTTAAAGTGTTTCAGGTGTTAGAATCTAATTGGGAGAGAATACTATCTTGTTGGCAATACCTTGCTCCTTTACATTTTCATGCAAATATATCCTGCTGTATTACATAAAAATATCAAAAACAAAAACATAGTACAAACTGTGTCACATACAAAGTTTTCCAGAGCACAAAGTCGGGTGAGACATGATCACTTCCACACCCTTTTTCGTTTTTAAAATATATATATATATTTTATTGATTTTTTACAGAGAGAAAGGGAGAGGGATAGAGAGTTAGAAACATCAGTGAGAAAGAAACATTGATCAGCTGCCTCCTGCACACCCCCTACTGGGGATGTGCCTGCAACCAAGGTACATGCCCTTGACCGGAATCAACCTAGGACCTTTCAGTCCGCAGGCCCACGCTCTGTCTTCAGAGCCAAACTAGTTAGGCTCCACACCCTTTTCATATCATAAATGGTTAGAACCACATCTTGGCCCTGGCTAAAGCTAATTGTACAGTAGTTCTCTGCAGTATATACTTTCTAGTAACTTCATAGAAACTTGTCTCATAATAACCTCTTTGCATGTATGTAAGCATATAAATGTTTTATCATACTTGTTACATTCTGTTACTGTCAAGACTTCGCCATTGTTTGCTTTCAGATTTCCTGTTATCTTCTGTTCAGTTACTAAATTAACTTCACATGAATATCTGTAACTGTTTATGTTCTTTCAGTAAAATAAATGACCAATGTGAACTTGGAAATTAATTATTAGAATACTTTTCTTAAAAGAAAAACATGTTTATGCTTTAAGAATTTTGGTGGCACCAAAGGTTCCAGGTCCAGCATTTCATGTTGAATCTTGGGTTAAACGTCCCTTCTCCCAGTGCAACTACAAAATGGCAAAATGAAAGTGCCATAAGCACACCAAAGAAGCTGGATATATTTGCATGAAAATGTAATTTAGTGCTTTAATTATTAAAGTCACAAAACAGTATAGATTCACTAGAATTAGTTAGGGCTTGCTTTTATGTAGCTAAAGCATATGAGCCCTTGAATTGAGGATATGTTAAAGGATGAGAAGTTTTGTGATGTTTGTTGAAAATCACATTTGCTTGAAAGTCAGGATACCTGTGTTTTAGTTTTTCCTTTGCTCCATCTGTACGATTTTAGGCAAGTCACTTAACCTCTTTGGACATAATTCTTCGATTTCTTGCTTGCCGAAGAAGCCTTTCTTTGTGTGTGCACTTTGTTGTGATAATAGAGAATACCTGTTACCAATCTGTAGTTTATGAAGCATTTAATCTTTTTAAGAATAATGGTGATAGGATTATGAATAATATAAGTGACTATTATCATGCCTAGTCTTCTTTTGGAAATCTGCCAAGAAGTATGTGTGCTGAGGGTATGTTTATTAACCTAGTCCCAAGCAGTTAAGCTTTTAAATTCCTTTTCTGGGAAAATTAGATCCATCAGAGGAGAAAGGAATTTCATATAGGCAAAAGAGCTTTGAATTTTAGCAGTTTGAATAACTATGGGGAGAAAGTATTTAGTACTACTGGGACATTCCTTGACTATCCTCAGAATATCAGTAGCTTTATGTTTGGCTACTGAATAAGACGTGTATGGAAGACAAGTCTTAATAGGACCACCACAAGATCTATCACTTGCTTATGAAATAGTTTAGCATGAGATAATAGCAAGAGCATTGGATTGGGAATTTCAGTGTAGTCACTAGTCAACTTTATGACCAAATGCAAATGAATGTCCAAAGAGTTGGCTCTCCTAACTTGCTTCTTGATGTAATATTCTGTGATTCTGTGAGTAGTCCATAATTGCTGTTTAGTATAGCACGGATTGTAGAAATGTTTAGAAATACCCCAGGCTAGTTATAGTTCTCTTTTCATCAAGTCAACTCTCCTTATCATCTTATATTTTTCTCCACCAAAAACACAAATTTCACTTCTGAGTGGTTTCCTGTTTTATAATTAAATGAAGAAGATATTTCAGTGTATAACCTTTCTGTTTTCTGCCTTCTTTTACAGGACTGTGTATTTCTGCTAAAGTCAGTAATGTGAAAAGACCTGACATGGGTAAGACTGATTATGAAGTGGTCATCCAGTCCTTCTAGTTTTAGTAACTCTTATAAGTTAAGCTGAATTGGAAGAATGGGTTTTCTTAACACTTTTAATATTTTCATTTTTGTGCTTAATAATTTTAAGGGAGATCTCATACTGATTATGTAATACAGTATACCAAACAATTTTCTTTTAGTTGGGACATTTTCTGTAGTGTTGTTTGGAAGTATTTTCTCATTCATTGTATTGAAAAAACCAAATAATACACACCAGCAGACATTTACTATGTGGTAGGCCCTGTTCTAATTACTTAAAATGTATTTATTTGATTTGCAATCATCTTACAAGGGTACCCATAATACCTATAAAATAGGCACTGTTATTATTGCCATTATATCGACAAGGGAACTTATACACCGAGGTTAAGAAACTTGCCTAGTGTTACACAACTATAACTGGCAGAGCCAGGGTTTAAACTCAGGCAGCCTGGTTCCAGAGTCCTTGTCCTTTAGTATTTCCAAAAGATTATGGAAATATTATATTTCCTCCTATATGAGAAATAATTTGATTAGGAACATTTTAAGTTTTATTTAGCCAGTGGCTCTGACAGTTGTGATTAGAACATTTTCCACTATTCATAGTACTTTATGTCTGCAAAGGGGGTCAATATAATGTCAAGACTAGTAGCCAAATTAAGAATAGATTGAGAGCCCTGGCTGAGTAGCTCAGTTGCTTAGAGCATCATTTACTGGTAGAGCAGGAATGGAGGACCTTTTTTCTGCCAAGGGCCATTGGATATTTATAATATTCTCAGGCCATACAAAATTATCATCTTAAAAATTAGCCAGCTTTGGTCAAACATTTAATTAACTCACCTCTAATGCCTTGTCAGGACCAGACCAAGTGATTTCGGGGGCCTTACAGGGCCCAAGGGCTGGATGTTTCCCACCTCTGATTTAAAGCATCCCGATAAATAAGGTGGTGGGTTTGATCCATGGTTAGGGCACATACAGGAATCAACCAGTGAATGCTTCAATAAGTGGGACAATAAATCGGTGTTTCTCTTCTCGCTCTAAAATCAATAAAATTTTTAGAAGAGTACGTTGAAAATCATTACAGTTAGATCTTACATTATATTTGCTCCTTTTAATTTCACATTGGTCCCCTCTCTCTGTTCTGTTTTTCCCTTTTGTTTTGTGTACCTTCTGTCTGTCATTTGTTTCCCTTTTTTCTCATTGCTGATATTATGTCATGGAGTTCTTTTATTATTTGTTTCTCTTCTACTCTTTTATAAGAAAGTAACTAAGTTCTCAAAAAATGGTTATAAAGTAAGATTCTGCCATAATATTACAGTGATTGAGCTAATGTTTGTTAAGAGCCATATGAATAAATGTTGCTTTTGGCAGAACATTTTTAGGTTGATTAACCTTTAAAGCACTTTTTGAATTAAAACTAAAAATAAACTAGTGTTAACTGGTGTTTGTTTTTGAATTATGATATTTCTCCATTCTTTTTATTTATTTATTTATTTATTTATTTATTTATTTAAATATTTTTTACAGAGAAGAAGAGAGAGGGATAGAGAGTAAGAAATGTCGATGAGAGAGAATCATCGATCAGCTGCCTCCTGCACCCCCTCCCCCACTGGGGATGTGCCCACAACCAAGGTACCTGCCCTTGAACGGAATCAAATCTGGGACCTCTCAGTTCGCAGGCCGACGCTCTATCCACAGAGCCAAACCGGTTTCGGCTCCATTCTTTTTATCATTAAAATTTTTTCTACAGTTACATTCAAAAATTTCTTTTGGGGAAATGTCATCATTTTAAAATTTTGCATTTAACTCTTGACAGTTTTGAGATTTCTTACCAATGGTTATTTATGAAAGTGAGATCTTATTTAATTGTATGGCTGGTCTTTGGGAATTATTGTTATCATCCTTACCCAAGGACATGTTTTTATTGACTTTTAGAGAGAGAGAAAAGGAGGGAGAGAGAGAAAGAGAAACTTCAGTGTGAGAAATAAAAATCAATCAGTTACCTCTTGTATAATAATTACCCCAACTGGGAATTGAACCCAAAGCCTTTTTGGTATATGGACTGATGTTCCAACCAACTGAGCCACTGGCCAGGACTGGGAATTATTAAGTGAAAAGATGGGTATATAGTAAAGTAGTTATTAAAGCATTATGAGACTTGAACTAATCCGGACTCTTTCTCCAGATGATATTGCTGATAGGATGAGGATGGATGCTGGAGAAGTAACTTTAGTGAACCACAACTCCATATTCAAAACCCATCTCCTGTCACAAACAGGCTTTCCAGAGGACCAGCTTCCACTTTCTGATCATCAGGTTAGAAATTGTTTTCTTTTGTCAGTTAACTTTGGCTTAAGTTTTTATCTTATGTAGTTTAATGGCAAACTCAAAAGTAAAAACATATACAGTATATAACCTTTTTAGAATCAGTGATTCTAATGTTTGAAATTCTGTTTGATATATTAAAGTTAAGACAAGAACCAAACTATGCATGAGTTCTTTGACAACAGTACCTTTGAAAAAACTCTTTGTTAGTTCTCTAAATTTTACAATTACCAGTACACAGATCTGTGTTTTAAACTGTATCTTAAAATTGCTGAGCATTAAATGGGGTGTGTATATTTATAAATATACAGCAGCTCTGAGATTTTTCCATGCTATAAAGCTTATATTCTCAAAGGACCAGCAGCATCAGCATTACCCAGGAGCTTGTTGGAATTGCAGAATTTCAGGCTTCACCCCACACCTATTGAATAAGAATCTACATTTTTAAAAATCTCCAGCTGATTTATATGCACATTAAAGTTTGAGGAGCAATATTAATAAAGCAGTCTTTCTCAGTAGGAAAGCCATTACTAATTTGAATAACATGATTCTTTGCTGTGTGAATCTGATTTAAGCATAGCAGAATGTTTAGCATCCTTGGCACCTGTGTACTAAATACCTGTAGCATCTGCCCCCAATAATTATTTTAATAACTGAATATGTATTCATGCATTTCCAGATTTTTACTGGTGTGCAGCACCACCCCTGATTAAAAATCGTTAAGTTTTCAAAAAAAATCCAAAGTCAGATTGATTTTGTTTGCCTTTTTGATATATGATACACTGGTTTTCAGAACAGGAAATACTAAATGCATAGTTACCTTCTCATGAGTATTTTTTGAATTAAGTTGTATAACAGATATTTTGCTTATTTTTCCCCCCTGAAGCCTTTTTAAAAAATCAGATTGTTTGTTCATTCTGACATTCTTCGTAGTATGTTGTTTAATTTATAATATGTATAAATATTAGTTACACAGGGATGGGCAAAAGTAGGTTTATATGGAAAATAACAAAATAATAAGTAATAATACAAAAATAAACTCTTCATGCGCTCACAACTGTAAACCTAATTTTGCCCCACCCTCTATTGAATTCTGAAATAGGTCGTAATCTTGTTTAATGATACATTTTTTTCTAGTATAAATTCTTACTACATTTTATTGTCAGAATATGATTTCAGAAAAATCTTCTGCTTTGTTTAGATATTACCTTCCAGGCAAGGAAATTTGGACGGATCTTATACATGTTCTACAAGAAGTGCAGCTTATAGTCCAAATTATTATTCAGGTATGATACATAGCTTGGAGTCAAGACCTTCATACCTTTCAGATTTCTTCCTAGTGTATCATTTGTGTTTACCATCTGTAAAAGTGCAAGCATTGTCTGTCAAAAGCAAAATAGTATTTTCTCCACTAACACAACATTTCAGTAAGCTGTGTATCTGTGTATGTGTATGTTGTTGCTATGATACTTTACTGATCTAGTCTCAAATATTTTTTAATGGAAAAGTTGTTTTGAAATCCATTCTCCTACTTGTTCATTATATCATTGTAAAAATCACTATAGTTTTGTGTGTTTTTTTAGATATGTCTATGTGATGTAAAAATTATTTGTTTTATTGATTTAAAGCTCAAAGTTAGCCTATTTCAATTCTACTTGAAGCCATGAATTCTGAAAATCTACTTCTGCCCAAGTGTATCCCTCCATCAGGGCAGGAAATATTAACTACATGTCTCTATCTAGCACCTGCCACAGCCATGCTTGCATATTTAAGGGCTTGTCTATTCGATTTGTGATCCATGACAGAAGTCAGCATTCTCTAGCTATTCTAACCCCTGGTCTGCCTGACTTTACATCTCCCCTTCCTAAGATTTAAAGATCTTCTGGTTCTGTCTTGGGGAAACGAAGAATTTTTGTTCATTAGCCTCCTGGCAGTATGACCCAGGAAGATATTAGTGTTTTCCTATGTCTTTTCACTGTTTCCAATCTCCCCATGTTATCACAAATATGGGAATATTAGTAATACTACTTAATCTGCCTCAGTGAGATTTTTATAAGGATAAACAGATAATAAGTATGAAATGCAAGTAATAATTATTGTTGTTATTTGGCTTCCTCAGGATTCTTTGTCAGCAAGATGAGATCTCCTCCCCTAAAAAGACGTTAGTATGATGCTTTTTTAGATTTATATTATATTTAAATGTCACTTAGGTGGTGGTAATTTATCCTGGGCACTGGATTTCCTCTTCTGGGATGGGAAATGGTCTTCACATAGTATGTGCATAATTTGTAGTATAGAAAATCAGTTGTCATGATTCTTCTTATTGTTCTTTTGTTAATCCTCACCTGAGGATATTTTTCATTGATTTTTAGAGAGAGTTTAAGGGAGAGGGAGAGAGAGAGAGAAACATCGATGTGAGAAAGACACATCAACTGGCTGCCTACTGTGCGAGCCCTGAATGGGGTCAGGGATGGAGTCTGCAACCAAGGTATCTGCCATTGACCAGAACTGAACCTGCCACCCTTTAGTCCATGGGCAGATGCTCTAAGCACTGAGCCAAATCAGCCAGGGCAGTCATCATTATTATTGAAAAATCCTTCCTGATGAGCAAAGAACCTGAAAGCTGGTTTGATAGCTCATTATTAATCCAAGGGGAAGGGTAGTTGAGTGGATAATGAAATCAGATCATTAATATTTGAACTCAGTTTGTGTTTCCTTGTAATTTCACATGCTGATTTACCACTGGACAGAATATTTGCTTTTAGTTAAAAATAATTGCTCAATAAACAGTTTTATAGAGAAAATTATATTCATAATCTCCTATAATTCAACTCGTCCTTAACTCATCTCAAATCATTATGTTCCTGACTATAATGATATCTGGCTAAATTCCTGGCTTTTATCTCAGTTACATGATTTTTGAGAGTTACATTTTTTCTGTATTTGTCCTTATCTACAAGACCTCTAAAGTCACTGTCTAACAATCAGAATTTTAAATCTTGAATATCAAGGGTCTCTATACCTTTTTATTATAATAAAGTCTTTATTTAAATCTACTTTCTATTGCGTACTTTTTAAAACTTTCTTTGCCATACCCATTCCAGTTCATTGCATGTTCTACAGAATTTTGTCTCTGCTATCTCCTTTGGATGTATTATTTTCTGATAATCTCCACATTGGTTTCTGTGGTCAGTCACTTTAAATTTTACCTCTTAATTGGGCTAGACATGGGTCCTAAGTTTACTTGCCTTAGTTTTCTCATTCTGACTGTATAGGTATTTGTTACCTTGCTATCCTTTCCTCCACCAAAATGAAAATAAACACAGGAAAATCCCAAACTTGAGAATGTAGGGTCTGGAGCTTTCTGTTTATTGCTTTATTGGATCTGACTTTTGATATATGAGTAGCCTTCTCAGTGGCATGTGACAGAGAGGCATATCAAGCTTTAAAAAATCTACTTCTTAATCCATTTAAGATTTGACTATTAAAAACATTGATTAAAATTTAAAAAAAACAGAAAAAAGCACTTTCATTTTAATAACTTAGTGCTAGTCAGACTTCAAGACATCTTGATTAAGAGTACAATTGAATAGAAAATTAAAACATTTTAAACCCTAAACAAAAAAGAGTAAGGTGAAATGATTTTGCTCATGCTTAGAATCTTTATCAATGTTTTCTGTTTAGAAAATATGTTAAATTAGGTTGCCAAACTGGCATTTAGTAGATGAAATGATTTAAAGCATCCTGCTATTGATAAATAAATCCCAAGGAAAGCTGGCATTACTTAACTGTTGGTTACTTTCATAGATTGGCTGATACACTTTTTAAGATACCCATAAAAATGTCGCCTGTTCTTATAGAGAATCCATAGAGAAAAGTAGGAAAATACCCATCATTTTATTAGAATACAACCAAAATTAAGATTTGGTTATATTTCCCCTATAGTTTTATGTATTTATATACATGTGATAAGTAATCTTATTTGTGGCATAAGCAGCCTCATTTCTTAATGATGACAGAAAACCAGGCTAAATCATCACCAAAAAAATGAGTGTCTGCAATACCGTTGGTCCTTCTGTATCTTTGTTTGGTCATTTCAGCAATAGAGGACTGTTCAGTGATTTCATTGAGTAAAGATGGAACCACCTCATTCTGGTTAAACAGACTGCATTCCTCTTGTATTTTAAAGCTGAAGTCTCTCACACGCCCTTGAGAAGGCTTCTCTAGCTTATCCCTTAATCTCTTCTAAAAAAATTAAAAAAAATATTTTATTGATTTTCTACAGAGAGGAAGAGAGAGGGGTAGAGAGTTAGAAACATCAATGAGAGAGAAACATCGATTAGCTGCCTCCTGCACACCCCCTACTTGGGAAGTGCCTGCAACCAAGGTACATGCCCTTGACCGGAATTGAACGCAGGAGCCTTCAGTCCACAGATCGACACTCTATCCACCGAGCCAAACCGGTTTTGGTTATCCCTTAATTTCAGATTTCACACCTGTTCAGGACAATTTTCATTTTTTGATAGACATCTCTAGTGAGATCATTCCCTAATCAAATTTTAGCAAAAAAGTATGAGAGACAGAAATGTCTGTTGTTACTACTTTGCATTTAATTTGAAGATAATTTTCTTGTCCTTTAATGAGACTCATTTTCATTAGCCTCATGTCTCTATCTTGAAAGTAATGGTAATAGATGCTAAGCATAAGTAATGATTACAAAGGAGAAAAGTTATAATTCATTTTGAAAGTAAATTTAATTATTAGATTAGGTTTATCCACTGGTGAATGAACTGGTACTAATATCACTCACCTTGACTGCTTCTTTTTTTATATCTTATTTACCCTAAATCCTGATAATCCTGATCAACTGGAAAAAATACACACAATACAATACAAAACTTATATTTTTGTCAGCTGCCATACTTTTTGGAGAGAATATCAAAGGCTACATTAAATATTTTAAATGACATAAATGTGTAATGTTAAAAGTTCGATAATAATATGCTTTGAAAGAGGACTTTCAATGTGATATTGACAGATAAAAAATTTTAGGAAGCAGAGAATTATCATTCTCGTTTTTCCACTCATACTCCTCAGGGTTCCATAGCCTAACATCTGAAATTATTTTGAAGGCATGTAATTGTCCAGTCTTGGTGATTAGGAGAGGAAGGTATAGAAATTATTCTGTTCTTAGCTGAAACTTGGAAATACAGGGTGTCAAAAAAAATGTATACACTAAGTTGAATTTTGAAAAAGAAATGTATTTTAGTAAACACTACCTTTATAATTCTTCAAAGTGTATGTATACATTTTTTTGGACATTCATTTTGAAAGTAAATTTAATTATTAGATTAGGTTTATCCACTGGTGAATCACACTGACTGCTGTTTTTTTTTGTATCTTATCCTGAATTCTGATAATCCTGATCAACTGAAAAAAATTTATTATCCTTGCTTGTAAGCCACAAGTCAGAAAATTAAAAACAAACCAAACAAATAATTCTCACTTAGCCTGATTGTAGCAGAAAGCGTTGGAGTATTGATATGTCTGTTGATTATGGCATTAAATGACTGAGATACCATATCAGAACCAGATGAACATGATGGATCATTCTTGCCATAAAATGACCAGAATAAGCAGCAATTAAGTTATCTCTGCTCTTAGAGAGAGCCTCTGAGTTGTGAACATGGTAATTACAAACAGGAGATACCAGCTGCTTATTAAGCAATAACTGTTGTTCATTTGAATTACAATTCTCGGCCCTCCACCTGCTTTCTTACTGGTCTGGCCTACCTTCTTTCAGGCCCAGGCCTGGGAGTGCTTGCAAGATATAGTTGGGGTAAAATGTTGACTTTTGGTGGACACCACGGAGTCACATTGATGCAGATAAGGCACATGGCTGTGGCAGGATTCAGCTCCTTCAACAATTTTCAGGTTAGTATGGCTGAATCAATTATAGTTTGTAGAAGTTCCCTTACTGCAGACTTTACTGGCAGTTGAGACTGGGATCTTCCATAAGAGACATGGTAAAATGCCACATTGCTTTAGAATTCAATGTTGGACATGGTTGCAGTCAAATGGAGAACCACAGTAGGTATTTAATTTATTCAAATTTTTATTCCTTTAGATAAACCTTCCTCAGACAGTTTTCTTGGCTCAGGAGACGTAAGAACCTTTGGCCAGAGTGCAAATGGTCAGTGGAGAAATTCTACCCCAGCATCAGGTGCAGCTTCACAAAAATCAAGAAACAGCCGAAGTCTTTACCTCGAAACCCGAAAGACCTCAAGGTAGGTACTCTGGCTGCTTAATTCATAAGCCCTCTCTGCAATATAAGAGAAAATGGCTATAAGGGTAGTTGTTATATTGATATTTTAAATGAGTAACACCATTTTTGAACTTTAAGTTTACTTGGTGCTGGATTTTGGTGACAGCCAAATTTTATTAAAGGAGAGAACATTTAGATATATTTTTATTGATTTAGAGAAAGGAAGGGAAAGAGATAGAAACATTGATGAGGACATCAACATCAATCGGCTGCCTCCTGCACACCCCTTGGTGGGGATTGAGCCTGCAACCCTGAGCCCTGACTAGGAATCATCTGGTGACCTCTTGGTGCGTGGGTCAACGTTTAACCACTCTGCTACAGTGGCCAGGCTAGAGGAGAGTTTTGAGGGAAATCTTGGTAAATATGAGTATATTAGGACCCTTGAGGATCTATATAGCTATTATGAACCTCAGAGTGAAAACCAGTATCTACAACTTTAGTAGCAAAGAAACTACCACATGTGGGCTCTCACATAACAGAGACTACTTACACCCAGGCAGCTTTGTACCTCATGGCCTTAGTCCTCTAGACATAAGCTATTTCTGTTAGAAAATAGAGTCACAAAGTACTTGCTCCTATTTACTATTTAGCTCAACTTCCTAAGTTCTACCTATTTTCTCACCAAGTTTATATTGATTATTAAAGGCAGATGAAGTTTGGCTTAGAAACTTTTCCATCAGGTGCTTTATTATATTAGTAAAATATTGCTTCTTTAAAATAGTATTTATGACTTCTTAAATTTTACAGTGGTGATGGGTTTTAGGTATATTATATCATTTAATTTCCTGCTTAGTCAAGGCTAAGCTTTTTGGTGTTGATTGAAACCAATAAGATGCCTTTTATTTTATTTTATGATTATTAGCACATGGACTCTGGAAACATGTGTCAGTACTCCCAGAATCATCTTCCCACTTCTTAAATATTTTAAACAATTATACCTGAATTCATGAATACATTCACAAAATTAAAGCATTACTCATAAAACTAAAGACCCATGACCGCTACCCACAATCTCATTCTCCTTCCCTTACTGTATTTCCTTCCAAATCTTTTCCTATGTTTTCTCTTCTAACACTATCTCTTATTCATATATAGCATAATATATATGCTATGTATACTATGATGAAATGTATAATATCATTTTGTCTTCATTAAAGATACTTCGTCTCTTGGCAGGTTGCTTTTTTTGCTAAACAATGCTATACTGCTATTTTTTTAAAGTGACATTATTGCAAAAACAGTACATGTGCTTTGTAAAAAATTGGAAAATGCAGATAAGCAAAAATAAAAAATAGAAACCTCACATTCCCACCAGTCAGAGATCACTTTTATAATATCTTAGTATATATCCTTCCAGCTTTTTTCTCTGCATTTACACACACTCCTCCCCCCAAAAAAATGAGTTTATACTGTGCATATTCTTTTGTTAATCTGTTTTTTCAATCATCTCCTTTTTACCACTCAGTAAATTTTATCTTATACTTAACTAAATTATATTTAAGTTTTTCTAGTTGACCCAAACTATCCTTTACAGCTAATTTTGTTCAAACCAGTATCCAATCTAGGATTATATCTGGTAGTTATTACCCTTTAGTCTCTTACAATCTAGAACAGCCCCTTTTATTAATGACATGACTTTTTTCCTGGGTAATATCTCACTTTTTGGATTTTACAGGTTTCTTTGTCATAATGTCATTATTTTGTCCTCTTTTCTCTGTATTTTTTTAAAAATATATTTTAATTGATTTTTCACAGAGAGGAAGAGAGAGGGATAGAGTTAGAAACGTCGATGAGAGAGAATCATTGACCAGCTGCCTATTGCACACCCCCTTCTGGGGATGTGCCCGCAACCAAGGTACATGCCCTTGACCGGAATCGAACCCGGGACCTTTCAGTCCGCAGACCGACGCTCTACCACTGAGCCAAACCGGTGCCGGCTCTCTGTATTTTTTCTGAACTAAATTTTTTACTTGAGTAAAAGGTGATGCTGTCTTATTTCATATTTAGGAAACCTGCTCTATCTGGTTCTCCTGTCATTGGTGATAATGGATTGATCTCTGGATTAGAGAGAGAATAGTCTTGTCCTTATTTATACAGTTAGGTTTCTGTCCCCCTTGTGACTAGAACATAATCTAAATGATGTTACTTTGGCATTACATGAATGACCAGTTTCTTATCACTCTAATAGTTATTAATCTCAATTGATAACTCTTATCTGGTAGCAATTTTTTTTAAATTGAGGTATGATTGACATAGTATATTAGTTTCAAGTGTACAACGTAATGATTTGATAGTGAAATGGTCACCACAATAAGTCTGATTGACATTAATCACCATACATGGTTACTGAAATTTCTTTTTCTTGTGGGAGAACATTTAAGGTCTAATCTTAGCAACTGTCAAATATCAATACAGTATTGTTAACTATATTCACCATGCTGTACATTACATTCCTATGACATTTTATAATAGGAAGTTTGTTTGGGTTTTACAGATTTCTTGGTCATAACATCATCATTTTGTCCTCTAGTACAGGAAGTTGTACCTTTGGGTCTCCTCTGAACTTATAATAATTTTAGTAGAGTTAATGAAATAATATTTTTCTAATTTTATTATTTTTTCCTACCCTTATTAATTGGCACTCTGCTGAAGGAGAGCTCTTTTTCCTCATTAGCTGGGACTATTTTGGTGACCTTGGAATACATTTCCTACTGGGAAGGCAGGATATATGATTAGGTCTTTCTTTTTTATTACCTATTTTCAAAATAAGTTTATTTATTTTTATTGATTTCAGAAAGGAAGGGAGGGAGAGAGATAGAAACATCAGTGATGAGAGAGAATGGTTGCTTAGCTGCCTCCTGCACGCCCCCTTACTGGAGATTGGGCCAAAATCTGGGCATGTACCCTGCCCAGGAATTGAACTGGAAGCTTAATGATCAGCTACACTGGCCGGGCTCCATTGGTTCCAGGCAGAGTGGGAGGGAGGGAGAGAGCTAGAGAGAGAAACATGGATTGGTTGCCTCCTGCATGCAGCTGACCAGGGCCAGGGGTCAAGCCTGCAACTGAGGTATGTGCCTTTGACTGGAATTGAACTCAGGACCCCTAAGTCAATGGGCTGACGCTCTAACCACTGAGGAAACCCGGATAGGCCAAAGAAAGTTTATTTTAATAGCCACTTCAAGTGGTTCAAATATTTTTTTTTTGTTCTTTTATTTATTTGTTTTTAATGTCTCTATGGCTTTAGTGTGTTTTAATCCACTATAATCATTTTTTGATGCTCAACTTTAGCCAGTGGGAGTCCATGCTTATTTCTGTGCCTGACCCAACATTGTTAATTGTTGGTAGTACACTTGCTGTCTGGCATTTAAAGATGCCCTTCTACTGTTTCTTTAGAATAGGGGTGTCGAACTCAATCAGAGAAGGGGCCAAAATCTAAAATCCAGCCTAAATCGCGGGCCGAATGGTTTACTGAACAGTCATAAACTGTCATTGTGATGGAAACGCAGCGGAGTGCAGTGACGACAGCGCGGTGCGGGCCACATTGCAAGGCCTGGCGGGACGGATTTGGCCCGCGGGCCTTGTGTTTGACACATGTGCTTTAGAAAAAAATAATATTTTATTAAAAACAGATATAATATACTCTCTAGGAAGCATAAATACAAAAGATATTGAGGGGAATTCATTATATCGTCACCAAACAAATTATATCACCCTTGCCATCTTTTCAAGCTGTATCCACCCATCCTAAGAAAATAAGCCAGTTCCTGAAATTCTGAGTCCTTGCTCCTTTCTCCACTCTAACACACACAGAAATCATTACAGTTTGAAGAGTTAGAGTATATGTGTTTTTTTATTTTCTTTAGACCTAGTCTGATTCATTTGGGCCTCGACATATACTGATTTAAAGAGTTGATTTTATTGAATTCAGTTTAGTGAGTTCTGTAACTCTATTTTGCATCCTCAGGGGGGAAAAATTCATTATATTGATAGCAAATACCTAAGACTTATTTGGTAACAATAAATGAGAAAGAGCACATTTAAAAAAATTTTTAAATTATTTACTTGTCCTTAGAGATAAGACTAGATTTGAGTTTACAAAACTATTTTTCCTGCCAATTTTTCACATTATTTGGGGTGCAAATAATATAGAGAAGCAAAAACGGAATTTCCTTCAGAGGAGGTAAATAGTGAGGCCAGAGGAGAGTTCACAGAGAGTGGTACAGCCTAATAAAAGCCTCTAGCTGTTTTTAATGAAGGATGGGAGCCCTCTGTTGGTGTTTTAGGAAATGTTAGAATTCAGTTTAAAAGCTTTGCTGAGAGCCAAAACCGATTTGGCTCAATGGATAGAGCATTGGCCTGCGGACTGAAAGGTCCCGGGTTCGATTCCGGTCAAGGGCACGTACCTTGGTTGCGGGCACATCCCCAGTAGGGGGTGTGCAATAGGCAGCTGGTCGATGTATCTCTCTCATCGACGTTTCTAACTCTCTATCCCACTCAATTCCTCTCTGTGTAAAAATCAATAAAATATATTTAAAAAAATAAAATAAAATCTTTGCTGAGAGGCTTTGGTTTTATCCATCTCTGCAAATTTAATCTTAAAATAATTCCCTCCAAAGGTCTTGGGGCAGGGGGCTGTGAGGAGTAAAAAGGAAGTGTATTGTGTATGTTAGTATTAGAACTCAGATTTTCTGAAGAGATCTAGTATGATATGCTTTCTTTTGTACCATACAAGTATGTAGTTCCTGACTAAAGGAACATATAGATCCTGAAGCTGAGACATACAATTTTAGGTGTTTGATAGTTATATAGTTTGGCAATCTAAGACCTCTTAGGCGGCAGAACCTGATGCAGCAACTCATATGTCATTTCTTATATATTTTCCTTAAGTGGTACATCTGTTATTCTACCTGCTAATTTTTGTTGTTATTTCTTGAAAGTGAAATAATCACTGGGTTAGGTTTTCTTACATCTTTTTTTTTTGTGTGTGTGTGTTTTTTTCCAGTGGATTATCAAACAGTTTTACAGGAAAGTCAAACCATCACTGCCATGTATCTGCATATGAAAAATCTTTTCCTATTAAATCTGTCCCAAGTCCATCTTGGAGTGGTTCATGTCGTCGAAACCTTTTGAGCCCCAAGAAAACTCAGAGGCGACATGTTAGCACAGCAGAAGAGGTAAGGAAAACCTGCGACAAGAGCTATGGTTAGAATCTTTCCCTACATTCAGCCATTTCTCCCCTCCGATTTAGATGTTTATTAACCATTCCATTTACTTAATCTTTTCTATGGTTTTTCTTTCTTACTCTTTTTGAGTGCTGTTATCTGTTCTAAAGAAATTGAAGAGATATTTTAGTGTAGGACTTTATTATTTTTTCTTACCATCTTTTATTCCTGTTGGACAGTAGACTTAATTTTCATTATTGTCTGAATACTTCTCATACATCAAATTATCTCTCTTCATTCTTTTTTGGACTCTTTGGAAACTTGTTTCATATGGGAAAACTGTTAATTTTGCTGGATTTGATTAAATACCCACCCTTCCTACTAGGACAATTTTTTCTCAATATGAAAGAAAAATCAAGAAGCCAGCTAAATAATTTCTATCCTTTCATTTTGAGTAAGATCTTTGAGATTATAGATTTTCCCAAAAAGAAAGATGTTCCCTTGACATTGGGTTGTTATATTTATTCAATAAACCTAAAGGGAAAACATTCTGTAAATATAATATAGCAAATAATTTATACTATAGAAAATGTGCTTATACCTGTTCAGTTAAATATTTTTTATGCATCTCATCAGCTTTGTAATGTTTGCTGTGGAGATACAAATGAGTAATAATGACCTTATATTTATATAGCATTAGAGTTTCCAGTGTGCTTTCCACATGCATTATTGTTTTGAATCTGTTTAACCCTCTGATACAGGTAGAAATGAGGTAATACCCACATTTTACAGATTGGAAAAGTAAAAATCGAGGTCATACAACTAGCAATTAGCCAGCCTTCAACTTCGATCTTCAGAAGGAGTCTAGTCTAGTGAGCTTTTTTGTTATACAACCTGGTGATGTGGTTCCTGCCCATTGCAGTTTACATGTATTGTGGAGTCAAGAATCTTATCCTAATAAAAGGGTAAATGCTAATTAGATCGGGAGACCTTCCTGACGTCCTTTCAGACAAAGCCATGGTGGTGGGGCTGAGGCAGAGGTGGTTGGGGGCTGAGGCAGAGGTAGCTGGCAGGAGGGGCAGTTTGGGGCAAGCAGGCCGGCAGGGGGAGGGGCATTGGGGGGCAAACAGGCTGGTGGGTGAGGGGGCAGTTGAGGAGGGTGAGAAGGCTGGGGGGGGGAGAAGTAGTAGGGGGCAAGTAGGCCAGCAGGCAGAGTGTTTAGGAGTGATCAGACAGGCAGACAGGTGAGCAGGTTAGGAGCCAGCTGTCCCGGATTGCGAGAGGGATGTTCTAGATTGGAGAGGGTGCAAGCCATGCTGAGGGACACCCCCACCCCGTGCATGAATTTTGTGCACCGGGTCACTAGTAATTATAAATTGGTAATGAAGATCTCAGGTAGCAAGACTTGATTATTTGTGACTTAGTAAAAATGCTATAATTTTTTTTTTATTTGAAGTTTGGATTCTAAAATATTCAAGCAGAGGGTGTCAGGATTAGTAAATCATAGTAGGAAAGGATAGACAAACTGGCAAGAGTATGTGATAAGAGCTGAGTAACAGTTACAAAAAGGACTTACTGCTCTAGCCAGTTGGCTCAGTGGATAGAGCTTTGGCCTGAGGACTGAAGGGTCCCGGGTTTGATTCCAGTCAAGAGCACATGCCTGGGTTGCTGGTTCGATCCCCAGTAGAGGGCATACAGGAGGCAGCCAATCAATGATTCTCATCATTGATGTTTCTATCTCTTCTCCCTTTCTCTTTGAAACCAATAAAAATATATTAAAAAAAAGAAAGAAAGAAAAAAGAAAAGATAAAAGAACCACTAGCTATTTCTACCATAGAGGGCAAAAGTAGAAATAGGAAAAACAGAAAGTTCTTAAATCATTCCAGAGTGAGAGACGTTCAGAGTGGAGGTAGAAGGAGTGACAAATTTCAAATTTGTAGCAAAAAAAATCAAGAAGAAAAAATTTAGTCTTTTTTTACCTTTGTATAGATCATTCTTAGTTCATTCCGCCTTTAACAAACACTGTAGCTGAATAAAATGCTTATGTGCATATTGAAATGGCACAGTGAAAGCTGCTGCTAGGCCTGGCACCAAGTATTATTAATATAATTAATTTTGTGAAGATTGGTGTTTGTATTACATTGTATATAAGATTTAAAGGAAGAAAAACATGATATATATGTTATTTAGTGAATGCAGCTTATTGCTTTAGGGGATCTGTATAGAATAGGTGCTTTACCATGGTTACAAGTCCTTATATAATCTGTTTTTCTGCTAAGTGACCTTTTCTTTAAAAAAAAATATTATTATTTATTTTGTTGTTAATCCTCATCCGAGGATATTTTTTCCATTGATATTTAGAGAGAGTGGAAAGGCAGAGAGAGAGAAACATTGATGTGAGATAGAGACATCTTTTGGTTGCCTCCCACACACACCCCCACTGGGGTTGGGGACCAAGCCTGCAAGCAAGGTACCTCCTTTTGACCGGAATCAAACCCACAACCCTTTAGCTGGCTGGCGCTCTATCCAAATCAGCCAAGGCTAAGTGACCTCATTTCTTACTATTCTTCTGATTCACAGTGACCTTGCTCTTCCTTGAATACATGAAAGCACATTCCTGTCTCAGAACTTTTGAATTTGCTCTTCCTTTGTATGGAATACTCTTATAAATCTCTTTGACTTCCTTGATTTAGGTTTTTGTTGAAATATCACAGTTTAAGAGCAATCTTATCTGTTCCCAGTGTTGCTCCTCCATCACTTTCTATTATTTTCTTATCTTTAATTTTGTTCATACTGATTCATGTTTTGTTTTTCAGTCTTGAACTGTATGGTAAACTCCATAAGAACAGGAACTTTATCTTTTTCAGTGCAGTAACTATTGACTGGAGCATAGTTGGTATTTAAGTCAATAAATAAATGAATGAATCTTATGGAGCATGTGCTTTCCACTAAGTTTTGGGAGTTAAGAAAAATAAATATATGTTGGAGATGAAAACCATCTCTGGAAAAAACATTCTTAAAAATTTAATGGAATAGAAAATTGTTAGAAAGATATTGCACTCAGATCTTGACTGTTCTGATTACTTCCTTGTGATTATCCTAGCAGGTATCAAGAACCAAGGGTTTTGTTAGAATCTTAATTGAGAGGTCCTCAAATGTTTTATTTCTGTGACTCTATCAATTGACTCAGAAATAGTTGCCTTTTGGCCTTCTGGTTTCATATCCTATAGCTTCTTTGCACTATTATTTACATATTAGAGGCCCAGTGTATGAAATTCATGCATGGGTAGAGTCCCTAGGCCTGGCTGTTGATCAGGGCCAATCAGGTTGTCCCTTGCCCCGCCTCCCACCTTCTCCTTTCCTTGCCACCTGTGCACCACCAGCCACCATCACGTGGCTTCCCCCATTTGCCACCTCCCTGCCTTCCCACCTCCTCTTTCCCTCGCTCTCTCAGCACCCCACTGCTGCCACTGGTCGTCCGCCATATTCTGTGCCACCCCCTGGTGGTCAGCGCACATCATAGCGAGCAATCAAACTCCCGGTCTCCTGGTCGAACTCCCAAGGAAACACTTTGCTGATTAGCCTTTTATATATACAGATATGCCCCATAATTCTCTGAACTATATTATCTGGTATTTATTTCACTAAACTTCTCTCATATATATTATATCATTTCTAGAATATCCTTAGTCTACCATAATTCTTAATTACCTTGAGGACTCTGTCTGAGCTTTGGCAGGGCTTCTGGGAATCTAGATGCTACTCTGAGAAACACTTGCCTCATTGGATGTGCTTAAGTTTTTTTTGTTCTTTTACAGACAGTTCAAGAAGAAGAAAGAGAGATTTACAGACAGCTGCTACAGATGGTTACAGGGAAACAGTTTTCTGTAGCCAAACCCACCACACATTTTCCTTTACACCTGTGAGTCATGAAACATATTTCAAATGAAATTAATTTCGCATGCATTATATGATATTGAAATATATTTTTCTCTTGCTAGATCTCGATGTCTTAATTCCAGTAGGAATACCTTACAAGACACACTGTTTCAAAATGGAAACTCTTATGCAGCTCAGATTATTGGCTCTGATACTTCATCTTCTGGATCTGCCAGCATTTTAACTACCCACGAACAGCCTTCTCATAGTCGATATCCCTTATCGTTTTATACGCCAGATATTTCATCCAGATCCAAAGATGATCTACTCCATCAACTCCAACATCACCACTCTCTTCCACATCAGCCAGATAACTTGTCAGCTTCAGAAACACAATCCAAAGGTAAAGATGGTATTATACATCATATTTTCAATATAATTTAATTATACTTCCTAATAGCCAATTTATTGGCTCTATGTGAATTATAATGCAAGGTTGTAATGCACATGTAACTTAATAATTCACTTAGCCATGCTACAGGTAAACCTATAAGTAACTCTTTTCTTACATGGAAATGCAAATGATTTTATATAGTATGTAAAAGATTAACTTCTGAAACAGCGTCTGGAGTCAAAGTTAATTAAGCCCAAAGACTTCAGTACTTTCTGTTTTTCGTATTTTATAATTTAAACAGCATGGGGGATAGGGGTGCTGACCACCCTCACCCCATGTGCTCAAAAATCCATGTATATGACTTTTTAAAAAAATATATATTTTATTGATTTTTTACAGAGAGGAAGGGAGAGAGAGAGTTAGAAACATCAATCAGCTGTCTCTTGCACACCCTTCACTGGGGATGTGCCCTCAACCAAGATATATGCCCTTGACTGGAATCGAACCTGGGACCTTTCAGTCCTCAGGCTGACCCTCTATCTACTGAGCCAAACCGGTTTCGGCTATATATATGACTTTTAACTCCCCTCAAATTTAATTGCTAACAGACTATTGTTGATCAGAAGCTTTACAGATAATGTGAACAGTCGATTAACACATACTTTGCATGTTATATGTATTATATACTGTATTCTTACAATAAAGTAAACTAGAGAAAAAATATTAAGAAAATCATAAGGAAAAGAAAATATATTTACAGTATTGATTGAAAAAAAAATCCACATATAGGTGGACCTGCACAGTTCAAACCCGTGTTGTTGAAGTGTCATCTGTATTCCGATGTTCTAGTAGTTTTAGTAAATCAATTAAGTATTGAAGTAAAAGTGCTTAATCAGCTAATATACAACCTGGATAATAGGTTTATACATTTTAGAATGGTCCTCAGTTGGACCATTGGAAACAAAAAAAGTTTTCTGCTTAATTTTTAGCTAATAAAAATATTCTGTACCTTAGCATTCTAGTTAAGTAAGGTTTTGTTATGACAATTTTTCTCTTTGCTTAGTTTCTCCTTCTTTAGGTACATCATATACTAGTAGTTATTTAAGGTATGTACTTAGGTACTATGTAACTTACAAAGTAAATTTTAGGTTAAATGGTTAGACATTAGGGATCTTTTGATAGACCCATCTCGAAGACTATCCTTCCTCAGGTCATTTGATTTTGTTTTTTTCTTTTTAATCTATTCCTCACTTACTTAAAATTCTCACTGGGGGTTTAAAATTGTTGGTGGCATCATTACATAGCTACACATATTCATCTAAACTTAAATTTTTTGAGGTGATTTACCAAGAACTATCATTCTTTTAAAAAGTTTTTAACCTCAGAAGCATACATTGTATGGCAGGTGCTTAGGTAGAACTAAACTGGGACAGATGTATTACATTGAACTGTTCAATTACTTTCCTTGTACTATTTAATAAATATTATAAATAAGGTTTTAATCATAGTGCTTTAGAAGGACACGATTCTTGCTTTTATCAACACAGAAAATAAGTGATAGAATGATAGAGTTTGTATTTTTTGACTCAACTACTTCTATAGCTATTTCTTTTTGCATTTCCTCCCCTTTACCTGTCTCCCCCCTTTGCTCTTGCACTTTGTTCAGCCTCATGGTAGTTCATGAGCTAAAGACTTTTGAGATATCTTGGCATGTTCTTGTTTCCCAGGAATAGAAAGAGGAATCTCAAGAAACAGGCATAGCCCAGGAGTAGAGGCTGAAGCCATATATACTTGTATTTCAGGATAACTACTTTATTTGTGGGGCAAGCTCTTCACTAAACCCTATTCTTGGCTCTGAAAATGGAACTGCCTCTCTCTCTCCCACCTTATCTTTATTTTTATGAAAATAGATTGTAACTGAGTATGGGAACTTAAGCCACAGACATCTAGAATGTATAACTGCAGTTTATCAATAATGATATGCTCTTGTGTTTCTTGTTTAGGATCAGACTCTGTGATTTTACTCAAAGTGCAAGATCCCCAGACTCCAGCTCCCAGGTAAACTTTGGGAAAAGGACATTATTAACATAATCCCCCCTTTAATTAGTTACTTTACTATGAGTTACATAATATAAAACTAAAATTGACTCTATTCAGACCTCTGGCATGTGTTGTTTGAATTATTTCAATGACTTTCTAAGTAGTCTTCCTTTTCCCAGCTTCCATTTTGTTCTTCATTCCATCTTCTACCACGTTTTCTAGGCTTTCATTCTTCAACCAAAGTGATCTGAAAGGCATAGCTGGTCATTCACTAAACTCCCTCAAGGGTGGTTTGTCAAATAGAGAAGCAAGCTCAAACTTTTTAGTGTGGTAATCAAAGCACTTTTTTCATAAATCCCGCTTTCAATCATGTATTCTTTTCTTTAACGAGTACCGTATTTTTCGGACCATAAGATGCACCAGACCATAAGACGCACCAGTTTTTAGAGAAGGGAAATGAAGAAAAAAAGATTCTGAAACAAATAGTGTCCTAAAATATTTTATGTGCATTAAAACCCAACATCACAGTCATAAACACATGTAATCAACCCTGTAAAGTAAACAGCAGCATTTAGAACCATTTTAGAGCCGGGCAAGCACACAGAGACCACAGAGCCGGGCAAGTAAAAAAACTTTTTTTTAAAAGTATATGTGTAGGCTATATTTGGACCATAAGACGCAGGGACTTTTCCCCCCCACTTCTGGGGGGAAAAAAGTGCGTCTTATGGACCGAAAAATACGGTACTTATTAATAGCCTACCATGTGCCAGGTGCTTGGACAGGCACAGGATAACCGCAGTGAGCAAAATGAAGCCTCTTCTCTCAAGCAGTTTACATTCATGGTATTGTTTTAAGTTGATACAGTTTTCCTTGCTCTTTACCCTTTAGCTGCTAGAGAATTTGATTCATCCAAATCTAGAGTATTTATGGGAATGCAGCAGGGATGGAGTGAACTGGGGTTAGGATGGGGGACGTGAAATCTACACACTTATATATATTTAATTAAAGAGTGTGCAGCTCTAGTAAGCAGTCTGCAAACATTGAGCATGAATAATCAGATAAGACACTTCCTAGTATAAAGAAACCAATAAACTTTTTGTGGTGCAAATTCAGATAAAATTTTTAAATTATAGCATAGCTAGAGTACCCATTTGATAGCTATGTATAAATTTATGTTAGAGACGTACAAGCACAAATCATGGAATGCCAGAGCAAGTTGATTTAGGCTGCTTTTTCTCTAAATGATGCAGAGTGCTTCAAACATTCAAGTAGTTAGAAATATTTGTAATTCTAATTCAAAGTGATAATATTATGGTGCTTATATTATATAGTTTACCCAGTATATTTGCTTTAAAGTACACTAATAAAATTTGCATTTATATATTTTATTGATTTTATTTTATTTTTTTTACAGAGAGGAAGAGAGAGGGATAGAGAGTTAGAAACATTGATGAGAGAGAATCATCGATCAGCTGCCTCTTGCACACCCCCTACTGGGGATGTGCCCACAACCAAGGTACATGCCCTTGACCGGAATCAAACCCGGGACCTTTCAGTCTGAAGACCAACGCTCTATCCACTGAGCCAAACTGGTTTCGGCAAAATTTGCATTTAATAAGAAAAAAAAAAACAGAGCTTGCATTCTAACTGTAGATGGTATAAGGGGAGAGGAGGGGGACAAATAGTGAACAAATAAATAAAAATACATGTCTGGTAATGATAAGTGCTATGAAAGAAAAACAAAGCAGGCAGTTATATACACTGGCGGGAGGGGATAGAGAGAGGGGTGTTATTTAGGATGGTCTTGGCAAGGTGACAGCCAAGATACATGATGGAGGTGAGAGAAGGAGCCATATGGAGATATGGGACTCTTTCATGTGTTTATTAAATGCTGAACTATAATATGATACCTATTTTCTTACCTTCATATTCGGTATTCTTTCTGCTGTTCTGACCTTCCTACCTCAGTTTGTCTATCTGGCAGTGGTGCTTTCTTATCTCTTAAGTCTCAATTCAGATTTGATCTTCTATATGAAACTTGACTCCTCAGGGAGATATTGAGTACTTTTCCCCCTGTAATCCAGTATGTCAGTGGTCGGCAAACTCATTAGTCAATAGAGCCAAATATCAACAGTACAATGATTGAAATTTCTTTATTATATTCACATGGGCCACAAAGTTTCAATTGCACTGTACGTGTGCGCCTGCACGTGGTATTTTGTGGAAGAGCCATACTCAAGGGGCCAAAGAGCCACAGTTTGCCGACCACTGCAATATAATAGGTTACTACTTAGGTTGCTATATCCTTGCCATATATGGCATTAGCAATTTAATTACTAGGGTGGTCATAGTATCAGTTTTCTATTGAGAAGGTTAGGGATAATAAACTGCTTTTCTCATCTCAGTTCCCCTGCCTCTTTGCAATTCCCCTCTATGTTCTAAACTTAGATATTTTAAAAAATTATTTATTTGTTATGGTTTCTCAAGGAGATTTTACAGTTTGGATTTTTTTTAAAAATTTTTTTTTTTAGTCACACCTGGGTTCTGAGCTTGTCTTTTCCAGGCTTCATGTAACTTTGGACAGGTTACTCTTCTGAATTTTAGTTTCCTTATCAATAAGGTGCCAGTATTAATACTTTACTCTTGAATTGTTGTGAAGATTAACTTTCAGATAAAGCATTTATAAAAGTTTTCCACAGGTACTACACAAAAGTAGGAATTTTTTTTTTGAGAAAAAGTTGATCTTATGTAAAGAGTGCTTTCAGTTCTATAATGATTCTTCACTAAGTCTGCCTTTCCTTTATGAAGGATTTCTCCTAGTAATAACTGAAGAATGAGATGGAAGGAGAAAGATATACTGGGTAAAACTAATTATATAGGTAATACTGTTCATGGAAATTGGAGGTTACTCTCACAGGCTTGGTTGATTGGCTCTTTATTTTTAATCTCGTATCAGCAAAGAAGATTTGCCCTTATTTCCCAGAATATGCCATGCCATTTTATGCCTCTGTGTCTGGAATTCCCTTCCTCTCCTTGTCCACTTGTTAAACTCTTACTTGGCTTTTTAAAATCTGATGGGCGTGTTTTTCTCTCTGACTTCTTCGGGGAGCATTAAGTCTTTCTCTTGAGCACTTCTGTTTCTGTACCTTGGTAGTTACTAACACTTTGTATTTATCGCCCAGGGCCAATCATAGTACATGATGTGGGTCCTTAGTAAATAAATCTTTGTTAAATAAATGAATTTCCCAGAAAGCCTGCAGTGCTCTCTTGACTAGTTCAAGTACTTACTGGTTTAATGCTTTGATTTATTAAAAAGCAATTTATAATAATAGAAAGTACACAGTCTTTGAAATTGGACAGACATAGTTTCTAATCCTGGCTTTTCCAAGACAAATGATCCTTCTGTACCTCAATTTCCTTTTCTATATATTATGAGTAATAATTCCTTATTGTCTATTATTGAGCTTTAATTAATACTAGTATATGAGAATTATTGCAAGACTTAATTAATAGAGCAGAGTTTTACATATAGAGCATTAAGTAGATGTTCAGTAAATAGTTGTAGTTATTATTACTGTATGCTTCAGTTATATGTGGAACAACGTATAATTTACTCTTTGAAAAGTAAAGAGATTTTGCTTCCCCCCCCGACTTTTGCTTTCCTAAAGCAGGAGATAAACTCGATCCATTGAAGAGAAGTGCTTATCTTACATTATTCATTTATTCAATAAATACTGAGTGCCTGCTGTGTGCCAGGCACTGTTCTTGGTACAGAAGATACGGTAGTAAATTCAAAAGACAAATTTTGTCCACATCAAGTTTATATTCTAATATGGAAGTAGACAAATTTGAATAGCATAACCCAATATGGTGCAATTCTGTGTGATTCTTGTCAACTTTTTATATTGTGCAATATATGTGTTCTCACGTTTTTAGTATCATACACTGAGTAGCCCCCCACTGCTGCCACAGATCTCTGTGGCTTTCTGTGTTGGTGGTTATGTCAGTTGTTCACTGCACACCTCTTCTCATGTTCTACCTTTATTAACCTCAGTGATGGTGGAGAGGCAATAGAATAGCATTTTCATTGCCAAACCTTAGCCTAAGGATGATTAGGAATACTAATTCTCAAGAATTAGGCTAAGAAGCAAGGCATATCCTCTGAGCCCATGCTCTTGCCTTAACTAGGACAGATTGTAGAGATTTAAGGACTGAAAGGGACTCTAATCTTCAGAATTTACAAATCTTAACACTAAGTCTCATGGAAATGACTTGCGCAAAATCATAAAATGTAATTAGGGGCAGCTCCAGGAGTTCCAGGTTTCTTAACTCCCAGCTTGTTCATTTGTTCTACATATCTAAAAGTTTCTTTGGAAAAGAGTTCACTCTTCCATTTGTTTCTGTGAGAGATTTTTCAATTAGTGCTTGGCAAGGAGATGAGGAAGTTTGAGAAGAACAAGAAGACCTAGGACATACAGTTAACATGGCTGCGACTCTGCTAAGCATTATTCATTCAGGTTATCAGCAAGAGCCACATCAAATAGATTTGATCTCTCATCTTTGGAATGGAGTTGTGTTGCTGATTCTTTGTTTTGGTTCATTCATTGACTCATTAGCTATTTCATATAGATGTTTCTTCTGTGGGTGGGGAATTTCAGTATCTACTTTAATTTGGTTGGGGGGGGGAAATATATATATATAATTTGTTGTTCCAAATATACGTTTTTAAAATATCAAGCTGCTTTCCCCCCCAATCATAGTTGACATTCAATATCATATTAGCTTCAGGTGTACATCATCGTGGATAGACATTTATATAACTTACTAAGTGATTACCCCCAAAAAAGTCTAATGCCCCCTTGACACCATACATAGTTATTACAATATTGTTGACTATATTCTCTATGCTGTACTTTACACCCCATTGCCTGTTTTGTAATTGCAAATTTGTACTTCTTAATCCTTTCACCTTTTACCCATCCCCTTAACCCCACCTTCCCTTCTGGCAGCCACCAGTTTGTTTTCTGTATCTATGAGTTCATTTCTGTTTTGTTTGTTGGTTGGTTAATACATTTAATTCAAGTGGACTAACATTCTAGTCTAAGAACCCATAAGATTTGACTAAATTATTAATAAATTTGTCAATCTGAACCATTTGGGAAGTGTAATATTCTAGCTTAATGTATTATCTTAACAAGTGATGTACTCTTTCACTTAATGTTGGTCTCATCCAAGTAAGGTGCTATGCTAAATTTAGTTTCTCTGCTGAACCTTGGGTCATCTTTTTAACTATAGTTCAGGTGTAGAAGAAAATAGAAAAGTAAGAAACAATAACATAACAATTACATTCAGAAGGGTTTCTTGACTTTAAGAGTGTCCAAATACAAAAGCAGTTTTGCTGAAATAAGTGGGATGCAGCACAAGAGAGGTAGCTTTCCATGTCAGAATATCAACTGATGCAAAACCCAGAGCTAGACCAATAACATGAGTCATAAAGTTTCTCAGACATGACAGAAACCTGTTCTGTTGGATCTGACCTCATCTGTTTGGGAATTCCTCTTCACTCATGCTGAGGGGCGGGACACATTTGTCAGGCATGTTACTGCTATGTTCTTGCTTAGAAGAGCTACATTTTATAAAACTGTTGATACTCATGCATAAAAGCAGGGACATAACCTAATCTCCTATCTGCAAGTTAAAAAAACTCACCCTTATTCAGTCGTGAGTAGCTGTGGAGCCAGCTCACAAGAGGTAATTGTTAAATTTTCAGGAATTTGAGAGCTAGTTATTAAACACAGCTACTATTTTAAAATTTAATTATATAAACTTTCAGTTACATAAATTATATTGAAAACAAAGGTAATAAGTATTCAAAAGTCATAATTTCCTACTCATTTTACTATTATCCATCTGCACATGTGTCAAACACAAGGCCCGCGGGCCAAATCCGTCCCGCCAGGCCTTGCAATGTGGCCCGCACCGCGCTGTCATCACTGCACTCCGCTGCGTTTCCATCACAATGACAGTTTATGACTGTTCAGTAAACCATTTGGCCCGCGATTTAGGCTGGATTTTAGATTTTGGCCCCTTCTCTGATTGAGTTCGACTCCCCTAATCTAAGGTTATTGGCATGTATCATATCTGTATGGTGGAAATACTATAGAATTATGTGCTATTGCACATCTTCCCAATTCCAGATTCATTGATGTCATGTTGGTAGGTTGAAGTGGGCCATGGTGGGAGCATTTACATCATGGAAAATTCCCACACCACAAATCAGGGCTTGATTTACTATTTTTTGGATGGACTAGCCTTAAGAAAGTGATGGAGAAAATGTCAATAATGCCAATTAAAAGTGTGTTATGTTTGCAGTGATTACATTGTGAATAGTACAAAAGATTGAAGATAAATTCTTCTATTATTTAAAAACTTATTTAACAATGAAACTGCTCACATTATTATTGACAAATGCTGAAGTTACAACGCGTCCTTGTTACTTTCATCTTACCTGTTAACATAAATGAAGCTATCAACCACCATGCATGTAGGACCTGTCTATACTCATTTGTCAATTGCCACCACTAAGTTGCTATGGATACAGAAGTTTGACAGAAATCAGGGAATGCATTCTGTAAGAATCAGTTATCATGCAATCAGTAAAGTGTATTTTATTATGGAAAATGTATGCAAATGACTCATTTATATTTCTTTAGTTCCCAATTACAATTTTATGTAATTTAGTCCTTGTATTTATTCAATTCATGTAAGTTATTTAAATAATTGGTTTTTCTGTTAATAATATTTGAATTTTCTCATAAGCTTCCTGCTAATATTTTTCTTTTCCCATCCATAGTCCTAATTTTTTCCAGGCAGAGTTGTGGATCAAAGAATTGTAAGTTATTTTTGGTATCATTTTTCTTCTCCATTACTTCCTAATTTTAGTTAGGATGATTAGCTAATTGATTTCTTCTATCTATACTTAATCAGTAAAAACTGCCTATTTATAGTTATTTATAAAACAACTTTTAAGTTTTTGGGGTTTTTAATTCTATTGATGTAAGGACATTTCTGTGTTTAGGTTTATTAAATTTATAATAGTTGAAGTTAACTTGAATTGGAAAAATACTTCAAAATTAGCAATTATATAGAAAGGAATATAAATGCCCTTATTTTCACATGGATAAAACTAATTTATTGACTAATTTTTATTTCTGGAATTTGCAAAATCACTAAAAGCTTTTAGTTTCCAGTTTTAACAACTCACTTTAAGTTATCCAAAACCCCTAGTGTTGATTTTCTTTTTTAAAGAAAAAAAAAACAACAACCCATATTTTTCCTTTTGGTTCATAAATACAATATTCGAATTAAAACCTCAATGACATTTTGTATTATTTTCTCCTTTGGGATTCAGTCCAATTTTTGGATTTTCAAAATAAAGGTTAATTTTCTCTCTATTCTTAGAAGAAGCATGTGTGTTTATTTTTTATTGATTTCAGAGAGAGAGGGATAGGGAGAGAGAGAGAGAGAGAAATATCAATGATGAGAGAGAATCATTGATTAGAAGTCTCCAGCACACCCACTCTGGGGATCAAATCCGCAACTCAGGCATGTGCCGTGACTTCCTGAATTGTGACCTCCTGGTTTATAGGTTGATGGTCAACCATTAAGCAGCACTGGCTGGGCTTAGAAGCATGTTTTTAGAAAAAGACAACACATTTACAAATATCCGCAAAAGCCACCTGTTCATATTTGGCAACAAACTAATAATTTTTATTATTTCAATAAAAACAGTAGGAAAAACAGTAGGAAACATGTAGTTTCACTTATAGTGATAAGTTAGTGTCATGATTTTAGACTGTGTATATGAGGGTTTTATATATAATGCTCATTGTACATCAACAATGGGCTGATATTAAGAGAGTGGTCTGCATTTGTGTCACATTCCTTTTCACTTCTAGAACTAGTGTTTATGATTCTCGAGCACGGGAAAGATGGCGCCAGATTGAAGAACAAAAAGCACTGGCATTACAGCTTCAAAACCAGGTAAAAAGAATTGGGTTAAGATTATAAATAAATAGCATATCCAAATTGAAACTAATTTGAAAGGTTATCTGTATTTAGGGGTCAAAACTGTTGTAATTGTAAGGTAGAATGGTACCATAGTATTGTGTGATAAATGGTAAATGTTCTTGGTCTATCCACCTAGTACTACTCAGTTTACATAGAGAGATAGAATATTTCTGTATTCCACTTATTCTGAAGTTCTGTCTTTCAGAGATTGCAGGAACAGGAACATTCAGTACATGATTCAGTAGAACTGCGTCTTCGTGTACCTCTTGAAAAGGAGATCCCTGTCACAATTGCTCAAGAAACAGAAAAAAAAGGTCGTAAATTAACTGATAGTGAAGATGAATTTCCTGAAATCACAGAGGTAAATTATTTAATTCCTGTACTAACAATTGTTATATTTAGAAATAATGCCCTGGAGAAGTTTAAAACATAAATGTAATAGAACACGTGGTATTTAAATTATATTGCACATGCCAGAGGGGAGGAGAGTTGGGGGGCTGGGTGAAAGGTGAAGGTATTAAGAAGTATAAATAGGTGGTTACAAAATAGTCAAGGGGAAGTAAAGCACAACAGAGGGAACATAGTCAATGATAGTGTAATAACTATGTATGGTGCCAGGTGGGTACTAGACTTATGGGGGGAATTACTTCATAAATTATATAAGTAATTTATGTTGTACACCTGAAATTAATACAAAATAATATTGTATTATTGTAAGCTGTAATTGAAAAATAAAAATTTTAAAAATTGTATTGCATACTCCTTTCATTTGTAATACCGCCCAGTGTTGGCTTTGTTTTTAAATGATTATTGCACATTGAGGAAAGAATTATGGGTGGGTCTTAGCAACTTCAGTAAAAGCATTTAATAAATTTGTGTTTCATTTCATGTACAGTAAGCTGAGGCTTGCTATTTTTATAAATAATAAAAACTCAGTATAAAATTTGGAAAATACATAAAGTATGTGTACATTTTAAAGTAATCTGTTCCTTAATCCAGCCTCTGTTTGAAAGACTCACATAGCTGGTGAGTATAATATATGTATTATAGTTGTATTGGATTCTATGTTTTATATTAAAAAAGAATAACAAGAAATCCAGGAAAATGTTTCTGTAAGAAACTACCTTTAAAGAAATAAAATAAAAGAGATCACCTTTACTTAGCTCTTCCTATCTTTGGGGAAAGAAAATTGTTTGGATCAAAAATATAATTAGATCTTCTCATAGAATACCATGTTTCATAGCAGGAATAAAATGAAACAAGGGTCTGAACTGTTGTGCTGAAAAAGAGAAGGGGAGGACAAGGTGGGATAGAAAAAGTAATCAGGGAGATTACTACTGGAAGAAATAGAAACCAAAATGTTAGAAGTAAACAGTTGATTAATGATAAATTGTCTGGGAATAGTGTGGGACTTGGTGAGAAATCTGGTGTATCTGAAGCCATGTATGCTTAATCTCTGACACCTCTTCCTTCTCTAGGAAATGGAGAAGGAGATTAAGAATGTATTTCGTAATGGGAACCAGGATGAAGTTCTGAGTGAAGCATTCCGTTTGACCATTACACGCAAAGATATTCAAACTCTAAACCATCTGAATTGGCTCAATGATGAGGTAATCTTGCACCTGATTTTATGTTCAAACTAGAGGTCCAGTGCATGAGATTTGCACACTGGCGGGCAGAGCGGGAGGGTCCCCTCAGCCTGGCCTACACCCTCTTGCAGTCTGGGACCCCCACTGGGGATGTCCACCTGCTGGCTTGGGCCCCATCAGACATCCCTCTTGCAGTCCAGGGCTCTCATAGTCCAGGACCCCTTGCTCCTTACCACCCACCTGCAGTGAAGGTGGGAGAGGCTTCCTTTACCACCACTGCCACCACCACAGCCACAGCCACCGCCACTGTACTTGCCAGCTGTGAGTCGGCTTCTGGCTCAGCAGTGCTCCCCCTATTGGAGCACACTGACCACCAGGAGGCAGCTTCTGTGTCTGCCCCCTCGTGGTCAGTGCGCGTCATAGCAACTTTGTTCTGCTGTTTGATTGATTTGCATACTATGTTTTTATTATATAGGATATTATATAGGATAGTAAGTGAACAGTAAGTGGAAATTAAATCAAGGCATTATCTCACTATTTGAGTCTCAAAGTTTGGTCCTTGGATGACCTGGATCAGAATAAACTTCACATGCTTCTCAATTCTCCTGAATAATTATGAAGCAGTGTGGTAGGGATATGCATTTTAAAAAAATATCTCAGATGATTTTATCTATTTTAATGTCTGAGAAGTGCTCATTTGCCTTTTTATATATTGACAGTTTGTACACTGAGGAGAGGACTTATTCGTATTGTTTCTGTCTTTAAGGCGGCTCACATCTTCAGAGAAAATAATAGCTGACCATGTTGTAGCATGAAGGAATAGTTTCCATCTAGGAATCCATTGCTACTTCCCCTTCTATATCTACTTGTTCTTTGTCACTTAGGTTATTTATAAGCTTTCCAAAATGGCCTATTTTTAAAACTGACATTTTAAAAAATTATATTATTAAATAGTTGATATATTGGGTTAAAAAAGTTATGGCTCTCAGCTTTTGAGAGTTCAAATTATTTTAAGTAAATATATTACATTTTAGTCTTAAGCAAATCTGTCCTATTCCTATACAGGAGGAGCTTGTTTTATTTCAGAAGGGTATTTCATAGCAAAAGAAGAAAATAGTTTGCTTTTTTCCTAAGTACCTGCCCCCTTTCTTAGGCTCACTGGCAGCATCCCTGCCTGATATTTTGGTGTATATTTAAGCTTCACAACTATGGAGGATTTTTAGATATTCAGAATAGAAAGCACTGGATAGTCTACATACCTGTATCCTTGTCTTGTATGCTAAGGATTTTCCAAATAATAATAATAATAATAATAATAATAATAATAATATTGGTTAACATCTATTGAGCATTTACCTCATGTAGGCACAATTCTAAGTGTTTTATGCTTTCTGCTCATATAATGGCCACCACAACCCTTGGAGGTAGATATTATAATTTTATCGTCTCTATTTTATAGATGAAGGAACAAAATATAGAAAGATGAAGAAATGTGTGAGGTTATATGGCTAGTGAATAGCAAAGCCAGGATTCAGACCCAAGCATATAGTGTATCATACTGCTTCAGAATTTTAAATTGGATCCTGTTTTAGGATTAGATGTATGGAGGTTGAGAGCCATATGTCATGCCCAGCATATTAATTTTTTTTCCTGAAGCCAGCTTGACTAGCCCCTTTCTCTTTGCCACTGTGAATTTATAAGATACAAATTTTCTTCACTTTCTGAATAATATCTGTGACCATGAATAGTAAAGAACGTATGGTTTGATATTGCTTTAGGGGCTTTAATGGAAAAAAAAATATTTTTTATTGATTTCTGAGGAAGGGAGAGGGGGAGAGAGATAGAAACATCAGAGTTGAGAGAGAATCATTGATCATGCTTTCTGCATGCCCCTTAATGGGAATTGAGCCCATAACCTGGGCATGTGTCCTGATCAGGAATAGAATCAGTCACTTTTTGGTTCATGGGTTGATGCTCAACCACTGAGCCACATGGGCCAGGCCACCCTTGCTTCTTTGGCTCAAAATAGTGATATTAGAACATTGGATCAAATACAGAAAGAAAGAAAAAAAAGGCTTACCAAATCAAAAGGCAGAATGAAAATCAAGGACAGTCAGAAGTATCCACCAATTAAGTGTTTTTCTTTGGAGTCATTAATCAGTGGTCTCTTACCATTTTTGCCTGCCTCTGCTAAATGGGAAGGGGTCAGTTATTCTACAGGAATGTAATCTGTTTGTTGTAGATTATGCAAAACCTTCTAGGGGGCAGCAATGAGTAGGCTATGAGCTGAGTTCTTGCTATTTACTATGGCGTTTACCTCGGTGAGATCCCTTACAGAGGCAGCATTCACCAGGACATATTTTCCATTCCCCAGTCCCCTCAGAGGCTGGCTTTTTAGCAAGCAAAGTTAATGGAAATTACATTATTTAGAAGCGATGAGGGGAAGGAAAGATAATTTGTCTATTTTATCTCTGTCAAGCGTAGCCATAACTTGTAGGGAATACTTGTCTTCTGAGTTCAGAATAATGGTAATCTTGAAAGCAGGTGCCAAGTCAATGTCCATGATGATGATGATAACCATTTTAAAAAGCACCATTTTTAAAGTACCTTACTTCTCAGGCTTTCAAAGTTATTGCCTGTTAGAAACTAACATTCTGATGGGGAATTATTAGGTTTTCTTAAGTATTTGTATTCATTTAAAAATGAGAGGCCTAAAGCATGAAATTTGTACACTGACAGGGGCTGGGGAGGGGTCCTCTCAGCCCGGCCTGTGCCTTCTCACAGTCAGGAGCCAGTCCGGGAGCCCCGCTATTGATCACACCAAAGAGGTAGGCCCTGCCCACCCAGCTGGGCTCGGAGATGGATTGCCCCCTCAGAGGAAGGCCCAGGCTACCTGCTGCAGCACCAGTGGCCAGGAAGCCCGGGCCTCCCTCTTTGGGGCCATTGTGGAGCCCCCCGACTTATCGATTACTCCGCCGGTGGGTGGCCTGGAGCCCCTCTGCAGGGCGATCATAGGGCGATGGCTGGGCCCCGACCAATCTCATCACATCTGCCTTGGCTGGCCTGGCGCCAGTGCGTGTCATCGCTTGGTCGTCCAGAAGGTCATCTGGATGGTCGTTCTGCTGTTTGGTCATTCAGTCAATTTGCATATTATACTTTATTATTATAGGTTATTATAGATACTTAATTCAGTTGTGAATCTAAGTTTCTTTTGCAAGTAATTTGTCCTCTCTTCAATTCTATACTTCTTCCCTCAAATAGGTATTTTCATTAATAACTATTTCTTGCCGGGACCGGTTTAGCTCAGTGGATAGAGCGTCGGCTTGGGGACTGAAGGGACCCGGGTTCGATTCCGGTCAAGGGCATGTACCTTGGTTGCGGGCATATCCCCAGTAGGGGGTGTGCAGGAGGCAACTGATCGATGACTCTCTCTCATCGATGTTTCTAACTCTCTATCTCTCTCCCTTCCTCTCTGTACAAAATCAATAAAATATATTAAAAAAACAAACAAACAAAAACTATTTCTTATTTTTTCGTATCTCCTGTCAATTTTATAGGCTGCATTAAAACTTTCTCCAAAATAAGGTGACTGACAAATTATTCTTACCATTTTTTAGACAAGGAATGTAAGATCTTAGAAGTGAAATGGAACAGATTTAGTTTATAAGGAAAATAAAATCCAGAAGTTTTATATTTGGAGTATGTGTAGAAAACCATTAGCCTACCTTTTCTCTGGTCTTTTTCCTAAAAGAAGAGTAGGCCACGGTGCCTTTCATAAGTAGGCCTTTAACTATGTTTTTATGAGCAAATTTTTATTGTGAATAGTTAAATTCCTGTGTAGTTCCAAGAACTAATGATTGACAGGATTGACATTTTACCTTATTATTAAGAAAATGAAACTTCTCAAAAATGGAATGTGGGAACTGGCTGTCTTGTAAAAAATAGGAAAGGAAGGCTGGTAACATCAGGGACATTGTAGCTGGGGGTGTCTGTACTGAGTATAGTGATTATTAGAAATAATCTAATCAAGGGAAGGAAGAAAGGTTATAGAGAGGAGGAATTAGTTGCAAAGGTAAATTGAAAGTCACAAAAAATGGAAATATTTAAAAATGGATAACAATACTAGAAATTATTAATTTGTGGAGATTTAATTTGTGGAGATTTAACTTCTGGAATCCAACTCTAAGATTCTAGGTTAGTGATCCTGAGGAGAGGACTGCTTTGAGCTTTGTGTTTCTCTTTATGGTTTGATAATTGTGCTGCTTAGAAGGTCTAAGAATTGTTTAATAATGCATTACATAAACTTAGAAATACATGGAAAGTATTTAGACATGCAAATGAATGGATCTGACTTCTGCTTCCGGTCATGATGGAATAAAATAGATAAGATTTGCCCTTTCAATTTACCTACAAAACCAGACAAAACATGAAACAACAATTTTAAGACATTGGGTAATAGTGATCCCGGAGAGAAAGTCAATGAAAGGAATGAGCCTATGATTTACCCAGGTTATACTTTTTAAAATTTTGGGGGGGTTTTATTTTTCCATCTCCCTCCCTCCCTCCCTCCCTCCCTTCCTTCCTTCCTTCCTTCCAAGGAGAGGGAGAGGCAGAGAGAGAGAGAGAAACATCAAAGTGAGAGAGACATATTGATTGGTTGCCTTCTGCAGATGCCCTGGCTGGAGCTGGGATGGAGCTTGCAACTGAGATACCGTGCCCTTAACTGGGAATCAAACCTAGGACCCTTCAGTCCTCAGGCCGATGCTCTATCCACTGAGCCAAACTGGCTAGGGCAGGTTATACTTTTTTTAGAATTTCTCACCAACAGACCTGTACTGTAAGAAATATTAAAGGATTCATTAGGCAGGAAAGGAAAACATGAGGTGGAAATTTCAATCTACACAAAGGAATAAAGAACAGTGGGAATGCTCTCACTCTTTAATATTTCTAAAATACAATTGATTAGTTGAAGCAGAAATAAAACAAGGTACTGTGGGGTTTATAACATGTAGAGGTTGTTT